TTACTACCCCTACTAGTACTACTTTTACTTCTATTAGCAGTGCTACTACACTATACAGTTACTACTACTTTATGCTATGACGCCTACTATATCTTCTATTGTAGCTCTCACGTCCACTACAGCAATTTAGTGCTATTAATATTATTTCTCTTTTATTCACCACTATTAATACAGTCATTGGCTTTACTACCTTTTCATCTTTATAGCATTTCCAATATTGGCAGTGCAACTGTTGTCCCCAGCAAAACTATCCCAACTACTGAGCAAAACTTCTTTTTCATCCCTATTTATTGCCACAACTCTTGCTCCCACTCAGACGGGGGGCAGACGAGAGAGGGAGTCCATTGCTCAAGTTTTGTTGGCGCTACTTCTTCCTCAGTGCATGCCACAAAATTTGGCTTGCCACAATCACATTTTCATTTCTGAGATCTTCATGATTACCTAATAAATATTCCGAAGCATACTTGAGTTTATTTTCTTTGTTCTACTCCTCACACACACACACACACACACACGCACATAATTTTTTGTGTTTTTTGTGTTTTTTTTTTTTTTGGCATTTTCCGTTTGGAATTTTTCCATATGTGGCTGAAGCAGTCCGCAATGCCACATGTTTAGCTATAAAGCCCCACTCACCCGTTTATCCCCTTTCTCTTGCTCTGGCTCTCAAAGCTGTCTCTCTGTCAAATGGCCAAAGCCCCAAAATCTTTTCCTTTTGGTCGAATGCCAAACAGCTCAATATTCGCACTCGGTAATGTTGCTAGAGTTCAGAGAGAGAGAGAGAGAGATAGAGAGAGAGAGGGAGAGATAGAGAGTGACTGAGAGTGATGGAAAGAGTGAGGTATATAGTCACGACTGAGCTGGCAATTATAACAATCCTGACACATGCACACACGCACACACACACACACACACACTCACTTATGCAGCTGTAACACATTTAGCGACAAAATTTCATCAAAATCTGTCACGTACGTTGCGCCAAAACCTACAAGACATATGAATATATATATATATTTATATATATACCTACATATATGCCCATATATATCTATATTTATATGTAGATATGTCCAATAAAATACCCATACACACACTCACACGCATTAACACGCACACCCACACAGCTAACCCGCTGGATGCTGTCGCTCAGTTTTGTTCTGCACATTAATTTTGACAAAAACAATTTCATTTAACGACATTTCCGGCAGGGTGCCGACTGACAAGCAAAAGAGAGAGACCCCCCCACCGCCCCCTCTCTGCCCCTTGTAAGAGACACAGCGAGTGTGAGCGAGATAGAGTAGAGTAGAGTATAGTCAGAGTCCCCTTTGCCCTCTCGCTGTCTGCCGCTGACACATTCACGGCTTGCCAACGAGTTAACCAGGCGCAAAACTGTTTAAGTATGTGAACAACAACAACAACAACAGCAGCAACAACAACAACATCAGTAAAAACAACAACAACAATGAGACAACAAGTTTTTAGCAGCTGGTCAATGCATTTCATTGTGAATGGCGAGCCACGCCTTTTTCTTTTTGGCCAACTGAACGGGCACTGGCGCTGCTGGGCCATGCCGTGCCTCGTGTTAGCCCGCCCAAGCATTGGGGCGTCGCTCGCTTGAAGTCGCGTCTGGCTTGTGAATTCCCTACAATTATTGTTGTTGTTGCTGCTGTTGTTGTTGCTGCTGTTGTTGCTACCCTTTCGGCCCAGTTGATGATTGTGTTGTCATTTGGGCCACACTTTCAGACTCTGCCTCTTAACTTAATTTTCTCTTCTTTGTGTTCTTGTTGTTCTTGGCTTTTGTTTTTGTTTCCATCTTCGTCTGCATTGTGCGCAGAGTATATAAATGGGTGTTACGTGTTATGATAATGTATATATGTAGGTGTGTACGTGTGTGTGTGTGTTTGTGTGTGTGAGAGGAGATGTTGCTTGGACTCTATACTAGACGCATTAGCATAAGTGGAACAACTATTGTTAACACGCACTTTGTTTGGCCAAAAGTGTATTTGAAGAGCATAACAAGAGCAAAAGGTATATGGTATATAAGGAAGTGAATAATATGAAATGTAGAGTAAATTATATATACATGGGAATAGATAGATATTTATATAGGAATACAATAGACACCATTTTTGTGTATCTTAAGGGATCTTTTGGATTTCTATCCTATAGGATTCTATATAAGAGATCTTATAGGATAAAGTGCATAAAATTTAATATCTAAGATCAATTTTAAATATTTAATCTCATAGAATTGATTTTGAATAGTTGATTCTATATAATTGCTACTATATATTGCACAATAATGAATAAATATATATAGATGACAGATATATATTTTGATCATATACAGTACAGTGCATCTGAACACTCCGAATTTTAAAACATTTAAATTATGAATGAAAGTTTTAAATGTCTCAAGTTCAGTAAATTTTCTTCAATTATTATTTTTAGTTTTATTTCAGTAAATTTTCTTCAATTATTATTATTAGTTTTATTTATGGCCGTTTTTTGTTCTTATAATTTATATGTTTTTATATATTATTATTATTAATATTTTATATATATTTATATTATTATTATTTTATATATATTTATAATGTTATTATTTTATATTTAAATTTTCGAGAACATGTCAAATATTTTTTTTTGACTCCAATTCTATAATATTTTTTTTCCTTTAGCATTAATTTTGATCAATAAATTTAACGCATTTCAATCTAAAATTTAAATTAAGAACTAAACTTATATATTTATTTTATATAATATATTTATATTTATATTTATATTTATATTTATATTTATATTTATATTTATATTTA